CTGATAGATCTTGATTTTCTGAACCATGGCTCTTGAACAGATACGCTGATATCTGGCTATTCCTTATTTTCTCTTTGTGCTTAACAGCCAGTGTTTTGAGATCCTGTTCCCTTGCCAAACAATTGACTTCTATAACTATGAAAAATTCAGAATTAAGTTTTCCAGCCTTCCACATTTCTGGATTGTTTTTGTACAACATAATAGGTTGTTAGTTTCTCATTTAAGATCATGTTCACACTGAAATTCAAATACAAGAAATATCTTCACCTAGTCTTCACAAGTATTTTAATACCTCCATTTGGTCTGCATGTGACAGCTGCTGCATTAGGATTCCTGCTTTTACAGTATAATATTCCTTTTAATAATCAATATATTCCAATCAAATACTACAAAACACATTTCTGATGAGTCCTATTAGTGAAAAAGAATTCAGAGCTGTCAGAAAATGGGGGATGAACAGTAACGTGCATGAAGCATCAGAATCCTTTCTCTAAAGCTTGCAAGGGAACACTAGATTGCATTATCACAACTCTAAATTGCAAAGTAAATTCTGTTATAATTTTCAGGCAATGTGATGCAATGTAAGCAAAGCTGGAGTGTATAAATATCTGCTTTAAACTTCAGACATGTAAAATAATCATAAAATTTTCTTTTTATTTTTCACGCTTACTTCAGGCAATCTGATCTTATTCTGGCATTGCATTGAGCAAGGAGTTGGTGCAAACAATCTTTGCAGGTCCCTTCCACTCTGAATAATCCTTGTTTCTGGACATATTCTGATTTTCATATACATTTAAATAAGGCTGAAGGAAAATATGAAATAAATCTTAAAAACAAACAAACAAACAAACACAAAACAACACAAAAAGAAACAAAAAACTGCACACTGTGGCTCATCTCATTGTATTCTTACAGTAAAACCTTCTTGATTTTATTAGCATGGCCTGCCTTGTAGAGAATGTAGGACTCAATGTACTTAGAAGACCTCTACAAAAATTAAATAAAATTGCCATTAATAAATAAAAAATAAAGCTCAGCTATGCTTCAGTCACATTTTCAAAAATATAGAAAATACAGGTAATTGCTCTTTGGCAGAAAACATGCACAAGAAGAATAAACTAAAGTATTACAATGGATCATAAAACACCTCATCTCAGAACAGTTTAAACTCAGAATTTCAAAAGTCTCATTCAAAAGCTTCTAATGATTCTACTTACATTCTGGCTTTATTTATCATTCAAGTATCTCAAACAAACAAACAAAAGCTTGAAGAAAGATAGTAATGCTTTACATCTTTTACCTGAATCATTGTAAAGCAAATAATGAAAAAGAAAAAAATTTACAATATTGAAACACTGTTGAAGCCTAGGTAGGCAGGGGAACACCTATGTAAGCAGTAGCAGTAGTTAATAGGTATACTCTCTTTGTTTTTTGGAAATCACAAGAAATGGCAAATATAATAAATTATAAAATATTTTTCCCAAAATTGGAACATGATTTTTTTTTCTTATTCAGGGCTTTGCTATCTTGACGATGTTTACAATACATATAAAGGCATGAGGTACTCAGTATGTTTAGAAAGCTTTCTGACTGTGCCATTAAAGAGAAATCAATACATTAATAAGTATTCTCATCAGGAGAAAAAAAAAAAAAACAAAACAACACAAAAAAACAAGAGAAATAAAACAAAAAACCAAGAAACCTACCAAACTTCCTAACACTATTCTTTCTTAAAACAAACAAACCCAAAACCACAAATAAAAATAAGAATCCTCTGGACAAAGAAATATGGTGTTACTTTCTTCTCAAAAGAAAAGGCTACCTGATGCTAAGTGGAATAAACTCAGAAGTTTGCAACCAGCTATCAGGAGCCAACTTTGCAGCCTGAGTAAATTCCCACTGAAGTTATTTACTAAGGATTTCTGTGCCAACACTCTGTTCACATGGAGGGTAAAGAAAGACTACATTAGGCATCCCGCTTAGTTTCCTGTCTTGATATCTCAAATCATACCTAATTACATCAGCAGTGCCCAACCATCCATCGAGCAAGTCCATGCAGCTCTGTGACAGTAAAGAACTGCATGCAGTTGCCCCCAGAAAAATGAGCCAGAAAAGAAGTCGGGGGAGGAATGGAAGGGGATAATGAAGATCTTCATTGAGCATCTTGTTACTCAAGAACAGTTGAGGAACAGGATAGAGAACATGTTGTTCCTTCAGGGTATGACTGATGGTACGCTGAGTTATATGCAAAGGTACACAGGCATTCCAGAAAGACTACTGAGGGAGTTAGAATTTGTTTCAGTGGCTATGCAGGGACTGAAAATAGTAGAATAAACTCCTCCGCAAGACCACAGAGTTTGATGAAAACCAAATAAGCCTTCATGTAAATTATTCTGTGCAATACTTCTCTGGAGTTGGGAATGCAAAGAAGAAAAAGGAATGGAGGGAAAGGATGACAGATGTCTCATTAATACCTAAATGCATTACATATTTCTTATTCAAAGGAGAGAAGTGTGTTATTTCACAATAAAAAGCCTGACCTGCCTGACAGGCATAGTTAAGACTATGCTTGAATGATCCAAGTCAACCAAAAGATGACTTTTAAAATGTGGTTTTCTTTAAAAATAAAAACCCCATTGATACTGAAATGATTATCTCTGCAGTAAAAAGTTTGCATTTTTTACCAGCTACTCTAAAAGTATTTATATATACTATATAATACTACGTATACTTATATAATACAGGTGCTATTTGTTTTCAATCACTGGTATTTTACTGCTAATACACAAACACTTTCTTACATTCTTTAGGAGACACAGAGCAGACATGACAACTCCCTTGCTCAGGAAGAACACCAAGTGCTCTAAACTCTGGGAGACTTTAGAGGTAACCGAACTCACGTAACACCTGACAACTACCTTGGTGACCTCTGAGAGGTTTTGAAAGCAGAAGCAGGATACAGGCACATACATGCTCCCTAGAAAACAAGTGGCACTTTGGCAATGTAATATTCTTAGAATTCTTCTAATTGGAAGCAAATAAGCTCATTGAAACCTAAGGACTTATTTGAATAGTATTTCTAGACCTGAAATAATCAGGTGTCATAGCCATATATACACAATGGCAGCCTATGAAGCAGAGCATTAAAGTTCTCTAAGTACACTCTCTGCCTCATCTGTTGTATATCTACTACAAAATGTGTGGAAAAATCTATTCTAGGTTGACTGGTTCCTATTTCGGTCTTTTCTTCAATGATTTGCATAGAGGCTAATGCAAGAACTGCCTAAGTTTATGGCAACACTATCAGGAATGTCAATGAATTTGGATACATCTATAAAGATGGTTGAAAGTCACTAGTGTAGGCAAGCCATTAACCTGTCATCTTACTACCTCCAAAGAGGAGCATAAAAATCACAAATGTATGTTATGTTTGACCAGTGAGCCTGTCAAATGTTATTAGACCAGTGCCTACAATATTAAAAGAAATCATGAACCAGCATTTAACTGGTAAAAAACAACCATTGTTTGAAGTGATCTGTTTTGTGAGAGGGGAAAAGAATGTGGTTCATTGTCATTTCATGAAAGATTTTTCAGGTTGCAGCCAATGTATAGTTAGGAGCGTGATGTCTCCATCAAGAGTGAACCAATTACTCAATTACAAATCTGCAGCTCAGTTTACATATCCAGATGAGTGAACGGACAAAAATTGCTGCCAATAGCACAGTACATGCCCACCCTTAGAGTTACTATATGAAGCATTACCAAATGAACTGATAGCAATCCTCATGTATCTTCTATCTACAGACAATGATAATCATGTATGAACGAGGCTTGAAAGTGTATCCCCAATACTGACTTTTTCTAAAACCACTTGAATTATCTGTGGTAATAGGCTATAAAAGTGGAAAATGACAAATTTGTCCTCTTTCTTTTCACTGGACCCCACCCTACTTGACATCTCTTGTCTCGTTTGTCCAAGAGTCTGGGAAATACTTAATTTTTAAAAAACGAATGCAGTAACAGACATCTCTACATTCTCATGTAGGCTGGGAGTAATTCACCAGCCAGACTTCCTTCAATGGGGCAAGCTCTGAAAATTAGAAGACACAATAACACTTGGCTTCTGCCTGACAAAGGCTCTTCGGCAAGCATGCATTTTGCTCACCTTGAAGGTTATCACCTCAGATGTGAATCTAATTTTATTCCTTCATCTTTTTGTCCATAATTGGTTCTAAAAGCTTGTTTTTGTATACTCAGCTGCTGGGTTTGTACACCAAGGTTGAGGAGTCATTTCAAGTTACTTATAATTTTGTTGCAAGAAAGAGAAGTGGAAATTTAACTACCATATATTCTAGCCTGTCCATAGTGACATCAGCTTGAAAACTCATTTCATTGGATCATTCTGGATATTTTACATTTACATGCTGTTGGTATTATTTTTTCCCCAAATGGCTAAATACATACAGTGACTGATAAAACCTGTCCTTTCTATAATTATGACTTTTCAAAAATTCTCAGCAAGATTGCTCTAAAGCAGCACAACGTAATTCCATAAGGAAAATCCTTCCTATTGTCTGAGTTGCATTACACACATATTCCTCCTCCTAGTTAACTCCTTACCTGCCAGCCTTCACTAAGCTATGATATCACCTTTAACAGAAGCATCCTGCACTTCTGCACAGGAGGGGTGATCATCAACAGCACCTTAAAGAAAGGACTCATTCCAACTATTTGCTCTTTAACATCCCTCTGGCCACACATCTCCCTCCATCACATATATATGTATATTAAGAAGAAAAAGAAAAAAAAAATAAAAAAAGAAGTTGACTTCCTGATTTTTACTCTGAAATTCCCCAACTCCCATCACAGAAACACATTTAAATCATACAACACATGCAGCAAGAGGCAGACCGCAAGCTTTTTTGCATTTGCACCTCACCTCCCAGAGGGTGTGGGTGCTAAGAAGGGAACGTCTGGCTCAGAAATAAAGGGTTCGGTACCTAGTGTCTTTTATTTCAGCGTCTGCTATTGCACTTGATCAATAATAACCGCAGTCTGCACCGGCTCCGACCGGGGACTCACGCAGCCGAGCACTCCCGGACCATCTTCCTAGCAATGGTGACACCGGCGCTGCTCCGAGAAACCCCCAGCCCTCGAGCTCGTCCTCCGGCACGACAGGCTGCTCGGCACCTCAGCATTTTCTTCGGTCACTTCGTCAGCAGCCAGGAGGAGAAGCATCCATAGGAAAAATGGCATATTACAAATTTTGCTTTGAGAAGCAGAGCTCGGCTCAGACCATTGTCAGGAGCAGGCGGGGGGGGAGCGGCTCTTAAAGCTCCAGCAGCCTCTTTCAAGCAACAGCATCTTTGCAGCTGGAAGCGAGATAGCACGGGGGGGAGGGGCCGGGGCGAAAGCATCTTTCTTTTATTTCTCATCTTTTGTTACACTTAACGGAGCGATATCCGGCTGCTCGGGTTCTTCAGTAGCTCCCTGGCTAATTATGCCTCCGTGCGTGACTCAAGTCCACATGCACGCACGACTGCACGATCAGAAGCGAAGGCGGCGTCCAGCTTCGCAGAGAGGAGCTCCCAGAGCGCCGCTCACCGCCGCACCACAGCGCCGGGAGCCGGGCGGCCCGCCGGGGGATGTCAGTGTGGGGCGGAGGGAGCTCCCCAGCCCAGCGCGTGCCGTGATTTCGAGCGCTGAGGCGAACGGCTGTACATCTCATCTAATCGGATACACAGCGTAATAAAACGTATCATCGGCCGTAATCCGGCCGTGACAAAGCGGCGATAATATCCGCTATAATCTGAACGGCCCAGGCATGTCATTAACTGCGCGCCTTCGGATACGCCACGCGTGGCTGAGCGCCCTCCAGGCCGGGGGCAGCCCGGGGATGCCGGTGGGCTGCCGGGATGGGCACTGCTCGGCGGCGGGGACTTCCCCTGGAAGCGGCAGCAGTGGTTTCCACCGGTCCTTAAATAAATTCTGAAGTAATCGCGTCTGCTGTCCCTGCCTCACGCACGCGGCTCCCCCGGTGCAGCTGCCGCTGCTTCGTGCGGTGCTCATTTCCTCACGCCCACTATGAAGAGTGAGAGAAATAATAAGAAATGAATACATAAAGGGACGCTGCCTGTCCCCTGCTGCTGCAGCTGCCCCGCGAGTCAGTGGCAGTCCTCGGGTGGAACTAAGAGTGTGAATAGATAAACAGCAGAAAACGTTTAAAAATTTCCTAAGTGTTCATCTGAAATTAAGTTCCTCATGGGTTGAGGACCAGCTCTGCAAGCTTTGTTCTTGCACAAAGGATTTCAGAAAAGGTGTTCTGTCCACACAGCATTGATGGTGTTTCTTCAGAAGGTTGAGTTCACTTCAGCCACCTTATGAAGGTAGTGTAGTGGCAGCCACACAGCCTGCACAGGCACCTTTGCAGCAGCTCCAGCCTGTACTGCTGCTCACTCCTGACCCTGGAATGAGAAAAAATGAGAATACATGCACACAAACACACACACACACATATAGGAGTAAGCAAACAGCTGAGAACCGTTGCCAACACAGACACTAAGAGCAAGTGCAAAGGAAATAATGGTGCCATACCAGAACTTGTAGCAAAAACTTGGTCTTTGCCAAGTACAATGCATGGGTTAAAAGTGTGAGAATAAAGTAACTCTTACCCAGACTCAGTACTGCAGGTGGCTTTTTACCACCACTCTTGGGCACTCCAGCCCTCTACGCTGACTCAGTTAGTCTTCAGCATACAAACCACTGCTTGTTGCCCAGCAATCACACTGCAGCTGAGAGCACAGATTCGTAGAATCCATTAAGGTTGGAAAAGACAAGATCAAGTCCAACCGTCAACCCGTCCCCACCATGCCCACTAAACAATGTTCCACTGCCACATCCATACGTTTCTTGAACAACTGCAGGGATGGTGACTCCACCCCTCCCCTCTGTGAGCAACCTATTCCAAAGCATTACCACTCTTTCTGAGAATATCCTAATGTCCAACCTGAACCTCCCTGGCACAGCTTAAGGCTATTATCTCTTATCCTGTCTCTAGTTACGTGGGAAAAGAGGCCAACATCTACCTCGCTATAACCTTCTTTCAAGGAGCTGTACAGGGCAATGAGATCTCCTGTGAGCCTCCTCCAGACTGAACCATCCCATCTGCTCAGCTGCTCCTCATTAGATTTGTGTTCCAGACTCTTCACCAACTTTGTTGCCCTTATCTGGATACATATGATTTGTCACCTGTCACTAAATTACCCACATGGCCCCCACAAGAACTGTGAGCTTTGTGTTAAGAGAGAGATTGCTCAGCAGCCGAAAAGACACTCGTGAGGGCAGACATGTTTTGCAGCAAGGCACCTTCTTCAGTGAAGGGCAAATCTCATTATTATTATTATTATTATTATTATTATTTTTCCCAGGGTTAAAGCACATTACTTCATTGCGTAACAAGGCATGTAGGCCAGAGCAGAACTTTCCACTTGTCTAGAACTCAGTGCTGCTGTCTTAGAACAGCATCTATATATGTGAAAACATCACTCTTTTCTTTAAAGTATTGATTAAAATGTTGACACTGATAACAGCCCTCCTTCCCCTATTTCACACTGCAGCTTATTGATTAAAGCATTTGCCATCCATGTTGGAGAGCTCAATGTCCTTGTTCCCCCAAGGTAGTTGTCTTCAGCACTTGGCTTAGGAAAGATTCCAGTTGTTCCACATAGCCGACTATTTGCACAGCTGTATAGCTGGCAGCCCTCATTTGTTGTCATTAGAGTTATAAAGACTGGTGGAAAGCTTTGGGAAGTCTGTTGGCCCTTCAGTTCCTCATGGCTGTCCTCTCTACTGCCTTCCAATTGTTAAGGCAAAAACCAGAATAGAAAGTCTATTACCACTACTCGTAGTATTGTCCTAATTGACCTGCTGCCCTTCGCTTCTCTGTTGCCGGATTCACGAATGAGTAAGTGGCCTAAGTATCATCTTTTATAGTGCTGAGGTTGCTGCATAGTGCAGAAACTGCCAATTAGTACCTGTGCTTTGTGGTACCTATTTAAACAGGAGCTTCCTTCTATTCAAGCCTGTAGGCTTTTGAGGTCAATGAGATAGAAGAAAAAGGAAAAAATAAAGAATGGCGTGTAAAAAAGGAAAAAATAAAGAATGGCATGTAAAAAACCAGAGGACACAAAAACCTGCACAGAACAAGTCCTTTAGGCTTCATCATAATAAAGGAATGCTCCCTATAGTAGAGGGCATCTTTTGGTAACTCTTACTGCATGGATGATTGTAATCAAGAGCATAAGAGCATAATGATATTTTATGGAAGCTCTATTAGGGAAAGGTACAGAATATACTATTAAATGATGAGCTCAGCCTTTCCTTGAGGGGAATTTGATCACCAGATCACCAAAAGATAGATTTGCTTGTCCTAATTTTGAATATGCCACTCAAATCTAATAATTGCCCCAAAATATTAAATGCTCAGTCTGGCAGCTGGTGATGGTATTGAGCTTGTGAAATTTTATGGGACTGATGAACGGGAAATGAAGTGAAAAAGACAGGTTATACTATACTCTTTATTACCATAGAAAGTCCTCCTTACCATCCTCCAGATTGTTTTTAAAAAAGAGAGTGCAATCATATGACAGAAAGAATATTTTAAAGACACGTCTGAAAATTGGCTTCCTCCCTTGTGTGTCTAGCCATGGGTTTTTCCTCATATGCTGTCTCCCACAGAGAGAAAGTGGAGGCTGATAAAATCTTTGGTCTGAACAGAATGAAAGGGTGAAGGAGGGAACTGACACCATCATAGTCTAAAGGAATGAATGTATAGGTCAGTGAGTAAGCAACCTGAAAAATATTTGCCTTTGCTTTCAAGACATATACTGTAAACTGAAAATTGGTAATGGCGGCAAAGATATATGATGTGATCGAAGCAACAAGATGAAAAAGTGTTTCCTGTAGCCTTGTTTTGAATAACACTGATGATATAGCTCTTTATTTATTAATGCCTGGCAACAGCCTACTACTGCATGATGAAGGCCTGCAGAAGATTTTCAGATGAAAATGGAAGAAGGAGAAACCTGTCTCAGAAGTTTTATGTTGGGAGAAGAAAAAATAGTCATGGTGTAGATAGTCTTCTCTTGATCAACAAGCTATTAGGGACTAAGAGAAGAGCACAAAAATAAAATTCAATGGATCTTGGCAGAGTCTGGAAAAAAGAAATGTAATATTGTGTGAACAAATTACATTCCAGCATAATTGAAGTAATAATTCCAATTGTACACTACAATTACATTCATGCTTATTTCCCAAAGGTTCTCTGCATATTACCATAGCTTTAAGGGTTTCTCTGTATTTCCTCAGTTTCAATTTCTCACCTATTTAATCTGTGGGTTTTACCTGCCATAACTTGATTACTCTTGTTTTGTTGTTGTTGTTTTTTCTTTTTTCTTTTTTTTTTTTTTCCAGGAGACTGTCATAAATCTGTTTTTCTTACACAAAAAGCATCTCACACGTGGCCTCAAAAATCATTGTGGTTACTTTAAAAACATCTTGCTACAGATATATGATAGCGGTTGGGGGAGTTTTAAAATGCACACATAATTTCACCTTAGATATAAATTGTTCAAAGCCAGATAAAGACCAATAAAAGAGAAGCCTGAGAATTTGACAGTATAGTTAGCACCTTTCTGTACAGCTGGAAGTCTTCAGCTGGGAAAAAGTTATCTCTGTCTCAATTTGATCTGCAGAGTAGGCTCTATTTACAACATAAGGAATGGCTGATTGGACCAGGCTCCTCTGGTCATATTATACTCCTCCAGAATATTTTTTTTCTGGAGACATGATTTGAGGACTGATAAATCCTATTCAAAATCCTGGTTACTCATATATGTGCCAATGAGACCTGAAATATAAAGGGGAATTTTTTTTGTGACCTGACAGGGTATGATTGGGAACATTGTCTCAGAGCAGGCATTGCACTCTTTTTTTGTGTGTGATTTATGTTAACTGGTGAAATATTGCTTGCAGCTGACATGGTATAAGTGAATAAACAGTTTAATTCAGCCTGTTACTGAAATATTTGAAGTATAATTTTAAAAATTCGCACTGCAATGGATACCATAAAAAATGAAATGGCCTTTGACTGTAATGAGAGAAGCCAGCTGTAAGATCAGATTTTCAGTGCTATCAATATTTCATTATTTTTTATTATCTTTAACATATAGATGCAAGCAATTAACTGCATGAAGTTAGCAGTATAATTTTTTCCTTTTG